TGGTCCCATTAGCCCCTTAGGAAGGTTTCCCACCTGCCGGGCGGAGAGAGAGCTGTGTTAATAAAATAAGGGGGCCTGATAGGGGAGCTGCATGCACCTTGCAGGAGGTGCTGCAGGTAGCAATGCTGGTGGCATGAGCTGGGGGAGGGGCGAGGGGTTTAGAAATGGAAACCGCCCAGACAAGATGTGGCATTGATGATGCACAAAAATGGAAGACTCTCCTAGTGAATAAAGGATCTTTTATTTGTGAGGGTACTCAAATATCACATCCAAGAGAAGGTCTTGATCCTTTTGCGTGCTGAGATCACATTCCTAGGCCACCATTCCTTTCCCAAGCTACCGAGGGATAGCCTGCCTGGCTGCCTCCCTCTTTCCTTTATTTCTTCTTGATCACTTCTAGTGTCCATCCATAAGGAATATTGTGCTTCAGTTTTCTGGGATCTTCCCCAGTCTGTGTCCGTACTGTGACAGCCGAGAACAGAGGCAACTGTCCAGGAGACATGTGAGGGTGAGGGGCACCCTGCGGTGGCTGGGTAGTGGTGCTGGAGATGCGGAAGATGCGTACTGTGTTTACAGTTGCTCCTTTGTGCGACTGAAACAGTACTTTCTATGCCTGGCAAATAGCATGTCTGAACGAATTAATAATCTGTTTCAAACATATAATCACATGTTAATCTTCCCCTTTCTTTGGCTCCAACCACTGTGAGAGACCAGAGGGCAACACAAAGAGGCTGGGGAAGGGGAGAGAAAGGGACATGAAGAGTCGAGGGGTGGCCGGTTTCTTTCTAACCATTTGCAGCTGTCAGCTTGTTTGGGGACGTTTTTTTTCTTTTTAGGCAGAGGAACAAAGTCCTGCTCCACGCAATTGTTTTCTTTGGCAGAGCGAACAGACACTTTCTCGAGGCACACATCAAGATAATACAAAACATCTGCTCAGAGAGCTCCGTCCGCCTGAGCATCCTGGAGAACGGGCGGCTTCTGCGGATGAGAATGGGCAATGTGGCTGGGTGGGAAGAGCAAGCGAGTAAACAAAGAGGAGGGGATACAAAGTCTTAAGAAACATCTGTGCTTGTTTCTCCCCCTCCTCGTGATCCAACAGCATTGTGTCTTGCGAGAATTCTGGAAATGGTGTGTTCTCAGTGCTGCTGCCAGAAGAAGTCTGTTTTCTTTTCTCACGTGTGTGGGATACTGTTTTTCTTCGTGAGCTATTAAGAATGGGTGATTTTTATGACTTGTGGGAGGATTTTCATATGCACACTTCTATTGCTGGACTCCAAAGACAAAAAGGAGAGCACAAATGCCCTCAAACTTGCATGGTGGCTTCGAGGAGAAAGGTGGACATTTCTAGTTGTGACTGACAAGAGATTGGGGTCCCAGAAGGTAGATTGGGGTCCCAGAAGGTTCAACTGGGGCATTAGGTTTCATGACAAGCTTCTTGGACAGTTCGCATGGTGCGCCCCCATATCAGTTTTCTTCCAAACTGGCTTTTCAGAAAAAGCTTTGTTGTTGGGGAAAGAGCATCTTCACCTGTCCTGGTTCATTTGCCTCCCTTGATAGCATCTGAACTGTGACAAGGAGGAGCTGGCTATAGCAATAGGGCCACCTGGCACCATCACCGTGGGCCTTCTCTGTGTCTGCCTGCTCTGAGCTTCATCCACACATGGCAGGGTCACCATCCCTCTGCTAAGGATACTGAGTCTCCTGGGAGTTAGAATAGCAGCCTGCCCCGGGGTGAGCAGCATGAAAATTCCACAGCTGGAATCTGACGAAGCTACGATCCATGTCCAAGCCAGATGTTTAGCCAGTGCCCTAGCCCTGACACTTAGGTTCGGAGAAGTAAATAAAAGTCAGGCTACCGTATTCCACCTTCATCTTCTATCAAGTTTGCTTCTTTGATCCTGCCATTTGGACGGGATCAAAGGAGCTGTGAGAACTTGGTGAAGCTTCCCCGCAGGGTGGAAAGCAATGGTCTCTAGAATTTGCACACTTGAGTTCAGACCCCTTTCGTCTCAAGTCCTGGAAGCTGTGGAAGCCCTGAGTTGGTCCTGTCCCTTTCCAAGCTTTGACACCACTGTCAGGTATGACAGAGGAGCTCCATCCTGTCCGGAGAGAAATCTAAACAGCTTGTTCATAGCCATCCTGCCCAGGCTCTATGCTGGGCAATAATGAATTATCTGTGGGGGAGACTGACACAGCCCCTAATTTTATGTAAGGCCTAGTCCCAAAGCAGGATTCTTAATAACTGTGCTATGGTCTGTGACCTGCACAAGAAGACCTCAGGAGAAAGAGAGCAGATGCCGTAAGGAAGAACAGTCATTGTCTAGGTGTCTACAAGGGCTGAGGCATCAACAGGTTGCTTGTGGAACTTATGATATTTGGAGAGAGTTCTCTAAAGTCTGCAGAGACAGGTTCTCCTGCTCTGTTCCTCCAGAACCCAGGTTTCAGCCCACCGCTGACCACAGCCACAGCCTCACTGCCAAGCGTTGACTTTTCTCACCAGGGGAAAGAATGAACATCTCAAAGCTCTGAAACTGCCCCTTTAGGTCTTGTCCAGCTTTGAGCCCTTTGTCAGTCCTTTGTCTTCTCTGAAGCGCTCTCTCTCTCTCTCTCTCTCTCTCTCTCTCTCTCTCATCTATAAAAGAGGGATCACACAAGCCATGATTTGTTTTTCTTTAGAAGAGTCTGAAAAGGAACTATTCATGGGCGTTTGAGGCTCTAGTAGCAGGAAGGTAGAGGAAAGAAAAAGCAAGCAAGAAAAAAATGGGTTAAAACTCAGAATTTCCTGGAATTTTTATTTAATTTTCTTTGGAAGAAAAGAGATTTACTAAGTCAGAGATGAAAGGGAAGTCTGCACACAGAGGCCCTTGAGAAGTTACAATCTGTGCTAGGTTTAGCTCTCTCGCTGATTGTGGCCTGGAGATCAGACGTTGTGGTTAGACAATTCATAAAGCCAGCAGGGCTTCGTTTGGATGCTGACTCCTGACAGAGTACCAAGACCTCTGGATCAGCAGCCAGGGCTGCAGAGCTGTCTCATCAGCACCCAGCCCTTAGACCCATCTCACTCTTGCTCTAGCTCCCTGGCCTGCCTGCCTCCTTCCCAGCCTGGAACAGAGTCCTGCTGCCTCCTGAGTGAGGGCCTTGGATCCTGACCTCTGCCCTGACATGTTTCCTCCTCTCTTTCTGGAATCTGAGTTCATCCTAGCCCTACTTTAGGTTCACTAATTCTGCTTCAGTACTGGTCCATTTGTGAAGGCTACGGCACACCACAGGACCCAAGGTCATCCATCACAGGACCCAAGGTCATCCAAGTGCTGGGTTTTTGTCTGTCACTTCTTTGTAGGTCGCTCATCTGAGTATGTTCTCTTTTTGGAATCCTAAAATTTCCTGGCTTTAATCGGAGAGTCACAGGATGTGAGATAGACTTAGTTATCAGCTGTAAGTCACTGAGAGATCTGCCAGTCATCTTTCTCATTTTCTATCTCAATTCTTAACTACCTGTTCAGAATGATTGTCACACATTTGGCTGGGTTATCATAAAGTCAGAGTTTAACTCCAAACCCCTAAGACATGTGTCTGCTGCAGTTGAGACTGCTGATGAGCCCTGTCCTAAGACATGCATCTGCTGCAGCAGAGACTGCTGGTGAACACTGCCCTAAGACATGCATTTGCTGCAGTGGAGACTGTTGGTGAATGCTGTCAATATACCTTTTTCATTGAGTGCAGTGACTGAAGTTTTCTTTTACCAGCTGGAAACCTTGATCGAAAGAATAATAGAGTTAATGATTAAGAAAAGGGAATTTCAAATTCTTTCTTCCTCCCCTACAGGCTTGACAGTGTTCTTCATTACAAAGTTCTCCCTTCTTTCAGAAACAGCACGCAGCATCCCATGTCAAAACTATACCATGACTGGCAAAAAAGCTCCCCTCTCTAAAACAGGAAGTGCTGAATTCACATATTACTGAAATAAGACCATTATTCTTTCTTGATCTGTTTTGGTTGATACATTCCCTGCCTCCCTTGTGCCAGAGACTTTAAAAAGTAGAACTGAAGTATGAAATACTTCCACCGTTTGTAGAACTAATCCCTAGGCAAGACATACACATGAAAAGCTTATGGAAAATATGCAGCGTAGTTAATGATTAAGAAAAAGGAATCTCAAGTTCTTTCTTCCTACCCTACAGGCTAGACAAACTTGGTCTACATTACAAAGTTCTCCGTTCTTCCAAAACCACCCTCCCCGTTGGCAACTAAGTATCCATTGCTGACCTGTTCCTGGGACGGCATCTCCTGATGCCGTGGACTTCTCCCTGCCCTGCCCTCTCCATCACCCGCCTTGTTTGCTTGTTTGTGCCCCTGTGTTGTTGAAGAGTAAATTTCAAATACTTCATTATGTTGGGCTGTTGAGTGGTATGTCTCCTACGGTCTCAATGCAAGTTAAACTGCAAAGGTACCTATACTTTGGGTTTTAGGATTTGGCCGATTTGAGATCCCAGCCCCACTGTTGTGTGAAACTATAGCCCATACTTCAGAGCCTCTGCGTTACTCATCTGTGAAATGGGAATAATTAAACTATCTTACAGGGAATGATGGCTTATTCAGTCTCCTGCAGTTTCCCTCACTTGTCTTAGAGGAAATCCAGGCATATCTGTAGGACACTCTTTAGAAGATTCTGTGCTCTCTCGGTATTCAGTGGCAGTTTAGTGGCCCTATTTCACCAGAGAAAGCTCTAAAACTCAAGTAGCTGCCCCCACCCTGTCTTTGCCCTGGGTTTGCCTCATCCCTGGATCCTAGCACCTGTTGCCACATCGATTAGCCACCACGCTGCACCCACATTCTCCCTGAGTTTGTTCAATGCATTGACTTTGACTTTCAAGAAGAGCTAGTTCCAGGACAGGCTCCAAAACCACAGAGAAACCCTGTCTCGAAAAACCAAAAACAAAACAAAACAAAAAAAAGACCCTTCCTAGTGTCTTCATACATCTTTCTTTCTGTTCCTCTAGGGGTGCCCTTCCCAAAGAACTTCCTTCAGATCTGCAAGAAGATCCTGTGCCGCCTGTTTCGGGTCTTCGTCCACGTCTACATCCACCACTTTGACCGGGTCATTGTGATGGGGGCAGAGGCGCATGTCAACACCTGCTACAAACACTTCTATTACTTTGTCACGGAAATGAACCTCATAGACCGCAAAGAGCTAGAGCCCTTGGTAAGTGTCTCGGAAGTATGGCACCATACGTGAGAGCTATGGAAAGCGGAGGGGGGGATAGGAGGGAGTTGCAGAATTAGACAGCGTTCAGTGACCAGCAAAGGGCCAGGGTGCATCAAAATGTCTATTGCAACCACGTAAATGTCGGAAGTTGCTCTCCAGGCGGTGATAATGTGTTGATATTATTCCTATATAATGATTTGGGCCAAGGAAGCTAGATTTAATACTCAACTCTAAAATCGTAGAGACGCTTTAATTTTCTTTTGGTTTTTGGTTTGTTTGTTTTAAGATTTATGTATTCATAATGTATACAGTGTTCTGTCTGCATGTATACCTGCAGGCCAGAAGAGGGTGTCAGATCTCATTACAGATGCTTGTGAGCCACTATGTGGTTGCTGGGAATTGAACTCAGGACCTCTGGAAGAGCAGTCAGTGCTTTTAACTAACTGCTAAGCCATCTCTCAAACCCCCTGGTTTTTGGTTTTTTTCAAGGCAAGGTCTCTCTATGTAGCCCTGGCTGTCCTGGAACTCTTGAGCTGTAGACCAGGCTAGCCTCGAACTCATAGATTCACCTGTCTCTGCCTCCTCCCAAGTGCTAGGATTAAAGGCATATACTACCACCACCCAACTGAGCCACTTTGGTCTGTCACTACTAGTGACAGTGATGTTCAGAAACATTACTTTCTTTAGTCAGTAAATGAGCATTGAACACCCGCTGCCTGTCGGCTGCTGGGCACACAAAGTCAGACACCGAGAGAAGCAAGTCCTAAGGAAGAGTTCTGTGTCACAGGGAATTTGCTCCTTATCCCAAATTCCCTGGGGTGAAGCCATCGGTGGGTGGATCATTTGCGATTAAGAACGTGAGAGATTAAGCTAGCTTTGTAATATGGATGAGTGGAGTCTGCTTTCATTCTATTGTTTTTAAAAGAGATTTATTTTTGTTTTGTGTATGCGTGTTTCGCTTGCATATATACTTGTGCACTGTGTGTGCATGGAGTGCCTGCCTGTGGAGGCCAGAGAAGGGTCGCAAATCCCCTGGAACTGGAGTTACAGGTGGTTGTGAGTTGCCACGTGGGTGCTGGGAATCCAATCTGAGTCCTGAAAGAGCGACAGGTGCTTTTAACCACTGGGCTGTCCCTCTGTGCCTTGTGTTTATTTTCTTCAAAAGTACCTTTCACCGTTGGCTTTAGCAAGGACCTTCGAAACCTTTGTGACAGGTTCACTTTAATGTGGATGCTGGCCTCACAGGTAGCCCCGGTGACACTAGTGAGCTCCTCCCTACCCAGTAGGATACATTGCTTTATATTAAAATCATGTTTTTTTTTCTTGAAAGAGTTAAAAATGTAGCTTTGCTAAATATAGTTGGCAAAACAAGCTTTATCCGAGTCTTTTTGAATGTTGACCAAAAGAGCCCAGGTGTCTGCTCTCCTCTTTCCCCTCTTTCTTTGTCTGCACAATTGAAGTGATGTTTTATTATTATTTGGGTATCTGAGATCAACAGCTCACATGACTATGCCCAGAAAGATACTGTGTTATATTCACATAGCCTCCTAATAAGAGCTGAGCCCAACTGTGCAGGGAAGCAGCAGATGGGGCGGAACCAGAGCGGGCAGACAAACCGGTGTAAGGTATACTCATTTGAAGGATCTCAGCAGCCTCGGGCATGCAGGCCGTTCAGTCCACCTGTTACTTGTCCTGCAGTCATTGGTCTGACAGCCTAATGTGGGCGGTACTTGGCTGTGGGCTCTAGACTGGCTGGTTTATAGTGTGTGTGTGTGTGTGTGTGTGTGTGTGTGTGTGTGTGTGTACGTACACAACTGTGAGTCAACAGTTTGCTTTCTCAGGTATTAACTAGTGGGAGGGGGCAGGGGGGGGTCCCTCTCGGTCATCAAGATCCCAGGGATTAAAGAAGCAAAATACAAAAATAAAATAAAGATTAAAAATGAAAGACATATTAGCTCTACATGTGGTGTATCTATATCTAGTAAAGAAAATGGTGGTGGATCTTCTGTTATGAATTAGGAGTCTAATTCATGGAATAGAATTACACCCCGGAATACACACCAAACCGTTTACTTTGCATGCAGTTGAGATGTCCCTCACGTTGTTGGTTAGTTGGTTAAAGAATAGGTGGTCGTCTTCACTTTCTTTCCATTGGGTTCTCAGGAAGCTTCTGGGACAACCACCAAGTGATCTCTGAGCATGGCTGTCGGACTCCTGTGAAAATAAGGCTAAAGGCGTTGATGGTGGGTTTGCTAGTTTGTTCAGTATCGAGACTGCTGGGCGTAAATAACCAGCCTGAGAGTAAAAGGTTGTGCAAACAACTCGGGAGTGTGAGCGCTGGAAACTGTTGATAAAGCTAATCTCAGAAAATGTCAAGGACGTGGAAAGAGAGGGGCTTATGAGGAAAGAGACACAAAAGCAGCTGCAGCTGGGCCACAGAGTCGAGGTCCCAATGGGACCACACCCAGGTAGACAGGAACAAGTCCCCAGAGGCCACCAGAAGTAAGAGTGCTGCTAGACACCCTTTCGGTGTTGCTGAGTTAACAGACTGACGTTAGATGGACAGGGCTGAGTGTCACAGGGCTGAGCGTCAAGGTCTCCCTTGTGCACAGAAGCATAAAGGCTACTGTGGGGGAAATCAGCAAGGAGAGAAAGCCTTTCTCCGCCGTCTAAATTCTCTCCATTGTATTCTGTTCCTGAAGAAAGGCCCCAGGAGCTGGAGAACCTGGTAGTGCCAGGAGCCGCCTTGCAGCCTCCCAGCCAGACTCAGTCAGTATTCTAGAAACAAGTCAGTATTCTAGAAAGAACCTGTTTGGGGACCTGGGAGAAAAAACATGATTGTCCTCACTGGGAGTTGTTAGTAGTAGAAGTGAGAAGAGAAGTAGCGGGTGCCCCCCCCCAAGTTTGTACTTCTTTAACGCGCACTTAAAATTGTTTTCTTCCCACATTTCTCTTTTTGTTGGTCATCGCGACAGGAAGTTTAATTGTAATAAGCAGCAGTAGTAAGTAGTCTTTAAAAAAATTATGTGAAATTATGTGTTTATACAAACTCAAACCTGTAAATCACAGGACTGGATACTGTGAATGTTTATGAGTCTAGTGATCACGTGATGGCCAGGTGTGGTGATGCATGCCTGTAATCCCAACACTTGAGACGTATCCTCAGGAGGATTGCTGCAATTCTGAGTCTACATGGTCAGCTCCAGGCCAATCAAGGCACTGTAGAGAGAACCTGTTCCCAAAATAAATAGCAACAACGGGGGCTGGCGAGGTGACTCTGCTGTTAGAGCCCTGGCTGCTCTTCCAGAGGGCCGGGTTTGATTTCTAGCACCTTCGCAGCAGTTCACAGCTGTCTGCAACACCAGTTCTGGGAAATTCGACAACCTCTTCTGGCTTTTGTGGGCACTAAATATACACACGGTGCACAGACATCTATGCAGGGGAAGAACCCATACACATAGAATAAAATAATCTTAAGAACCCACAACAACTATATGATGCCAGGCTCAATTGCTGGGCAGATCACTAAGAGTGTTAAACCTGTGGATTGGCACTGATGGCATTGTGTTCGTTGATGTTGCTGGAATTACCTGGCTCTACGTCTAATGTTGCAGAATTGCAAAGTGCGTGTTATAATCAGAGTTAGCATACCAAATCAATACACTTCAATTAGTACAGTATTTTCTTACACTTACTTATTTATTGTGGGGGAGTGTGCTTGTGTTTAGACGTGTGTTAGTGTTTGTACACGCAGCTGCACACACGTGCACACATATGTGGGGGCAGAGAACAACCGTGGCAGTCAGTTCTCTCCTTTCATCATGGCTCCCAGGATCAGGACATCTAGCTTGCTGGCAGAGGCCTTTACTCATTGAAACACTCACTGCCCCCAAATCCGTGTACTTTTATTTTGGATAGTCCAGCTACTCTATATAGTCAAAGCAAATTGTTGAGATATTATGGTTTATATAAGAGAGGTGTGTTTGGGGGACACTTAAACAAAGCCTAGAAAATATGTAATCACGAGTATCTTCTGCATCCCCAGAAGATGAATAACCAGGACTTTGTCTTCAAATTCTGGTCATGCATTCTTCAGAGTGTAGGGCAGCAAGAGGTCAAAGGACAGCATTTGTTCAGCCAGTTTCCTTCAAAACAGCAGCGTTCCCAGAAGTCCTCCACCGTCAGTGGGCCATTGCTGGAGTCAGGCTTAGCATTTCACAGGGGGGGATCTTGGAGCCTCACCTGGGTCTTCCCCATCTCCCAGGTATGGGCACAGCCTTTCGTGTCAAGAGTCAGCCGATTGCACTGGAGCAGTACCAGCTGAGCATCTAGCACATGGCTTCTGTGGAGGGTCCGGGACCTCACAAGGGTAGGACACTCAGAATCACACACAGCCAGCGTAAGACCCAACCCCAGGGCTCGAACCCCAAACCTTCACTTACTAACTTGTAATCTTTAACAAGACACTCAGTTTTTGAAACCATCATTTCCTCATTCACGGAGTCACCATAATGGAATTACAAAAATTAAAGATCAGGCACACACAGTCAGTACTTAAGAAATGTTAGCTATTAAGTCAGATAATGAATTTACAGTAATTAGTACTCAGTAAGTAGAACAACCCCGCTTCTCCCTTCCCTGATTCTCGTGACTTTTCATCCATCCTAGTGATTCCTTAGGTAGCCTCAGAGCAAACATAGTTAGCTGTCTTTGTGTCTGTATCTCCCTTGGGTTGTCAGTCCTGTGAGGACAGCTACTAAATAAAATATAGTCCTGAATTGCCCATGCTTGGTACATAATAAATACATGAAATGTTTCTTGGATTTTGTCTGTAATTTGGGAAGAGTCGTTTAAGGATGAGGTACCTCTGTTACGAAAGATTACATATAGCCATTCCTCCCTGGTACCACCTTATTTCATAATTGCCACTTAACACATTTATGGGGACTAAAGCTTCATCCTGACTGATTTATAATAGAGAATAAAAGCAAATTAAG